GAATTATTATTCAATTGTTTTATATAGTAATTTTTTTTTTGCTTTTCTCAAAAGTTCTATAAATTTGTTTTTATACTGATTATAATGATCTATATTTTCTTTCGTGGGTAAATATTTCATGATTTTATACAGTCTTTCTTTTTCGTTTGCAGATTTTATTAGTCCTTTGGTCATCCAATCATTTCTGCTTTTTTCCTTGTGACTTATTTTAACCTTATTAGTACTAACTTCAATTACTTTTTGAATTTTGTGTATTAATAAATTTGTAGCTTCGTCTAAAGAATTTGTTAAAAAAATTTCGTCCTACGATTCCGTTTGTGCGTTAAATATAAATTTTGAGTTGTCAGTGAAATATTTGTATTCAAGGTTTCTTTCATTTTTTGCCCTTGGGCAGTTCTGGTTTTTATTTTGTGAAGATATCAATAATACAGTGGAATAATGATCTGTAATATCGGTTTCATAGATAATAGGCATGTAAGAAAAAATATTGGAAATATCCTTTATAAAGCAGTGATCAATGCAGGTTTTACTTTTTTAATGATCCAAATCTTTGCAGGGGGTCACCGAATGGCAATCTCACGGTTCATGATCCAACACATATATGTTCATGGAAAAAATTGAGTTTTTTCCCGCCTTATCAACCGGGCTATGGTCCGATTGGTTTCTGCAGAACTACTTTCTAAGAGGAATGATCAGCAGACTGTCAATGTCTCACGGTGAGATTCGTTACAGGTCCTTGACTTCATTGATCAACCATGATTATTTCAATAACGACAACAATGAAATGTAGAAGAAAGTGAAATTAATATTCATATAATGTCAATCAGCCATAAAAAAATTATTTATTACACACATTACGGTACGGCTTTTGAATATTTTATTTATAATAAGCGTTGGAAAACAAAACTTAATCGATGGAAGTGCCTGGATAGCTTACTTACGGTCGCTGTAATTGTATCACTGTACGGAAAGGTGATAGAAAGTAACCGTATTGTGTTACTAAATCGATCAGCATCGGCGTGACATGCGGATTAGATTTTTTGTGGGTTTTTCTACTACATCACGTAGGCCAGGGTTAGGCTTATTTTCATGAGTGAAGGTAACTGAACTCGGTTACTTCGTCAATAAAAATATACTCAGTGACATCAGAATTGTTGCACCCAGAAAAAAACATTTCTTCAGCTGGTTCTTTGGCAACAAGAAGACCATATTTAAAGAATGTTGTGGCAACAATGCCAACGTTTTATCTTTGTTTTTGTTTACCTTTGTTAAAATGTTATCCCTTAGCAAGAAACTTTCGCTGTAGTTCTAATTCCTAGTGCATTATAATTATAAAAATAAAACAAATTTAATCAATTAAATATTTTTTCAAATAAAATATTTAGGGCCAATTTCACCCACAACAGTCCGTTATTCTCAACCTATAGGGTAACAGACCGTCAGATACAGCGAATGAGCTTCAAGCTCCAATCAACAAATTTTAGCAACCAATAGCTATGAAATGTTGAAAACAAAATACTGTCAAAGTATGAGATGACAACTTGTCATTGAAACGTCACCAGCTTATTGAATATTAAGAAATTACATATAATTCAGTCAAAATTTTAAGAAATGTTTGATTTTTGAATTAAATTCATGTTTTAATTAATATTGTTGATTTTTTATTCATGTTTATATTATTTTCTTCAATTGATATGTGATACTGGGTGTTTTTTTCTTATAAACCTCTTGCAGATAGCCATTAAGCACCTAGTTGATGACAGGCTCTACCAAAAGATATTGCTCGTTTATAAACATTCATTCATTTACTTGCCGTTCATCAGAAGCATTATGGCACCTTAAATTGATATTCCCACAAAACCATTCAGATTTTTTGATATCCATACATCCATAAAGTTGAATATTTTCCGTTGCCAGGAACTGAACAAACATCCATACTATATTCACAGCGATTAAGAAATTCCCAAATATATGCCTTAAAGCTACCAGCAAACCTAAAACCTGCAAAAAACAGATTTCCACCTAAAATATTTAAACAATATTTATGTGGCGAAGCGATGAAGTTCCCATTGAATTTATTTTTAATTTATCGCATAATTTAATCTGCCAGGATGCACATATAATCTAAAGCCGTCAGAACCAGCAAAAATCTGGCCTTGCGACGTCTCTCAACTTTAGAGGTTGTAATCACTAAGCCAAACCGCAACATTTCTCATCCTGAAATCCCGCGGTTGGCCATGAGACAAACAAATGACTGTGTGTATGCGCTCTTACGAGAAAGCATCTGGTAAGTCGACAGAATGTTGTTTATAACTTGAGACGATGTTCTAGGATCTAGAATCAAGAAGGATGAACATGCCATATATACTAAGTGACATATAAATCCGAACACCCAGTTTAAATGGTTTTATTTTAATAAAATTTTATATAAGTACTTAATGAAGCATAATAAGCAAATGATAAAAATTTCAAAATGATTGCACTGCTTTAAAGCCCTTTGACCTTTAATAATGTGTGGATGCACCCTGATGTGCTACGCATTCTCCAACGCGCCTAGGCATGCTTCTGATCAGGTGGTCAATGTCCTCCTGTGGTATCTCATTCCAGGCAACCACCAACTCCTCTCGAAGTGCTTCTAGAGTCTGAGGAGGACGTTGCAAATTGAGCAATCTCCTACCCATCATATCCCACACGTGCTCAATTGGGGATAAGTCGGGAGATCTTGGTGGCCATGGTAACAATGTGACATCATTATGTTGAAAAAAGTCTATTGCGAAGAACTTCTAAACTATGATATTTTTTCTGGGATACTATTAATAGTTGGTTGAGACAAACGAGTATTTATTTCACTGAAAACTAGCACGGTAAGCTGAAGAAACCAATTATTGGTTTCAATGCGAAAATCTTTACTAAAGTTTTACTAATTACTGCGAAAAAAATGTACTAGACTGAATCAGCATATGACCTTAAAAATTAGCTATTGAATGCTCTTTTACTAAAGTTTTACTAATTACTGCGAAAAAAATGTACTAGACTGAATCAGCATATGACCTTAAAAATTAGCTATTGAATGCTCTTTCCAAAATATTATAACATTTGTAGGACCTTTTTACTAAAAGCTGAATAATTCCAAGATTTGAAATTGAAATCGTAATACTTTCGAAATACTACAAATAAAAAACAATAAAAGCAGCTGTCTTTTGTGTCCGAATTACAAGTTTGTAGTTGATGTAATCGCAGTGAGCATGTACCCCCTGAATGTTGTAAAAATCTATCGAAATAAAAAAAATACAACCAAATGTCCTTAAAAGTTGTAGTTTGGACACAAAAGACAGCTGCATTTATTCTTTTTTATTTGTAGTTCGCAAGTATTGCGACTTAAATGACAAAACTTGGAATTATTCAGTTTTCAGTAAAAAGAAAATACAAATGTTACTATATTTGAAAGAGCGTTGATGAGCTAATTTTTAAGATTATTTGCTGATTCAGTCTGGTAAATTTTTGTTCACTGTAATTAGTAAAACTTTAGTTAAGGTTTAAACCAAATGTAATAATTTAGTTTTTTTAGCATACCGTGCTAGGTTTCAATGTATCTCTTTCAGCAGTTACAAGGATTATCAAGAGGCTGACTCCAGAGATAACTATTCCATGTAATTTTAAATAATCTGCTAACTACGCCACGCCATTATGTAAAGTTCACAGCCTACCCACTTTCTGTCAGAGACGCCTGAACTTCTAGATCTCCCACAATTTAGTCGCAATACATTTCACGTATACCATAACAGCTACTGATAGTGTTGCTTTATATTTTATACTCATTTTTAACTAACATCGCCGAAAGCATCAACTTTGAGAATCTGGATGTTAGCCAAAACAAACGTCATATTTGATTTTTTTACATTTAGATAAAGATAGAGAATTCCGGCAATCTTTACGTGACACGATGCCGGTAATGCAGTTTCCTTGACTTTGCATGGAGAGGATGACCTTGGTGTCGCCAGTTCGCCCTTGAGACATTTCACCTCCCTGGGGATTACTGAATGACGATGCGTGCATTTGTCTATGCAACGCCGTGCTGGGTTGCCATGTTGCTGGGTGGACGGGGGCGGTAGGCCAGTTCCCAACGTTGTTAAATCTGTGGGGGGTTATTATACAGGGTGGCGCATCGAAAACGAAACAGACGCATTTACTGGCAGCTCAGTTTTTTTTTGAAAAACGCTCAGATCCGTCGATTTTGTTTTCGAGTGGGACACAAGCTTGGCAAAAAATCACGTTAGCACGTGCAGCCCCCTAAGCGGGGGTGACATCACCCCCAAAATCTTAAATGGAAAGGGGGGTCGAGTGATACCTTATTTTGAAGGTCTTTCAATTCCCTTTATAATGATATAAAATTAATAAACTTCAGTTCAGTAGTTTTGAAGATTTATTGATTTAAAGCTTAAATAAAACTAATACATCATCATTAGTGGAGATCAATACATTTGGCAGCAAAGTAATTTAAAAATGAAGAATGAACTGACCCGTTAGGCAAGTAAATGTTGAAAATGGCCACCATGACTCTCCATGCAATAATAAAGATTTTGCTCAAAACGTTGCCGCACATTTTGCAATAATTGAGGAGTAATTTGAAGGCACTCATTCACAATTCTTTGTCGCAGGTCTTCTATTGATGTTGGCTGAGTAGCATAGATTTTGCTTTTTAACCCTAGGTCAGTCGCGCGGGTGACAATTGTCACCCACTTTCATTTAATATGCCACTATTTAAATGTTTCAGCTCACTTGGCAACATCGCTCCGAGTATCTTTCATGTTATGATAGATGTCTGTGCCGTCAAATATTTAGTACGGCTTGTGCGTGTTTAGTGGAGATATCGCTGACCAAAGTGTCCCCCGCGCGACCTTCTACGTTGTTAAATTATTATTAAGGTGTTGTTGTACTGTGGCAAAGGTAATTCAATTTTTAATATTTTTTCTCCCTATGCTAAGGTATTTTTGCTTTAGGTATTTGGAAGTAGTAGCAAGGCCATGTCTGAACAGAAAAAAAGAAAAGTAGAGACAAGTAATGATCCCAATGTATGGCTGAAGTGGTACCATGAACTAAGTGATGAAAGTGATCTGAGTGAAAGCTCTAAGGATGAAGATGAAAGTGACAAAGAGGAAGAAAATATACTGACAGAGAGTGAGCATAATACAGAATCGGAACAAGAGGTTGCGGAAAGTGAAGAAGTTGAAAGTGACGAAGACGTGCCTTTAGATTCTTCTAGTTTCTACATTGGGAAGGACAAAATAACGAAATGGAGAAAAGCGAATCCTCCAAGAAATGTGAAAACAAGGTCCCACGTCAAGAATTTACAAGGGACAGAGATGCAAGGAGTACTGATGAGATAGAAATAAGGGCATTTATTGGATTGTTGTTCCTTATAGGCACCATGAGATGTTCTCGTAAAAATATTCATTTACTATGGGATAACTCCAAGGGAAATGGCATTGAATCATGTTATCTTACTATGAGTGAACAAAGGTTCCGTTTCCTTTTGAGATGTTTGAGATCTGACAACACCAATGACCGTAACATGCGTAAAGAACTTGATAAAATGGCAGCAATTAGGGAAGTGTTTGAACCATTCACCAATAATTTTGAGAAATATTTCTCACCGAGTGAATATCTAACTATAGACGAGCAATTGCTTGCGTTTAGAGGTCGTGCAGCTTTCCGCCAGTACATCCCCAATAAGCCAAGTAAATATGGCATTAAAACATTTGCTTTGGTTGATGCTAAAACAGCTTATACTATGAAACTGGAAACGTATGTTGGATTGCAACCTCCAGGTCCATATCAGCAAAGTAAGAATGCCAAAGATATTGTGATGAGGATGGTGGAACCAGTTCAGGGTACAAATAGAAACATCACAGGAGATAACTGGTTCACTAGTATTCCATTAGTCAACGAACTGCTGACTGAAAAGAAATTAACATACGTAGGTACTCTCAGAAAAAATAAAAGAGAAATTCCTAAGGAGTTTCTTCCCCAAAAAGACCGGGATAAATTTACTTCAATTTTTGGATTCCAGGAAAACTGTACAATTGTTTCTTACTGTCCACAAAAGAGTAAAGCAGTTCTAGCAGTTTCTACCATGCATCACGATAGTGCAATCAGTGAAGACACAGGAGAATATCAAAAGCCGGATATTATAACATTTTACAACAGTACCAAGATTGGAGTAGATTTAGTAGACCAAATATGCCAAAAAAATAATGTAGCAAGAAATACGAGACGTTGGCCTAGGGTTGTATTTTATAATTTATTAAATGTTTCCGCTGTAAATGCTATGATAATTTATAAACTCAACAAACAAATCGAGGGAAAATTACGCCGAACTGAATTCTTGCAAAGCTTAGCATGGGATATGTTGACACCACAAATGAAACGAAGAGCTTACATTTCACAAATTCCACGGGAACTTCGCCGCAGGTCAATGGTATTGCTGGGTTTGGAACCCTCAACTTCTGTAGTTGAACAAAGAGATCGAAGAGGAGCAAGAGGGCGCTGTTACTACTGCGGAAGAGCACGAGATAAAACAACTAGAAAACTTTGCGCGCAGTATCAAAATTTTGCTTGCAATGACCACCTAAAAGAAATTTGTGTGCGATGTTATGAAAACAACGACTGAAGTAGTAATTCACAGTTATGTTATGTCTTAAATATATTTTGTTGTTAAAATCAACCTACATTTTATGTCAAGGCTTATAGAGAATATCTTGTTTCTTATTTAATAAATATTTTTGGAAAAATCTTGTATAGGTTGTTTTTTAGGATGGTTGATACTTGTCACCCACGCGACTAATAATGTGCGGATAAGAGACGCGACTAACCTAGGGTTAAATGACCCCACATAAAGAAATCCAAAGTGATAAATCTGACGATCTTGGGAGCCATTCAATGGTACCTCTTCTGCCAATCCATCGATCTGGAAACGTCTGATCTAAATATTGTCGAACACGTAATGCGTAATGTGGTGGGGCACCATCCTGTTGAAACATCAACCTGTTCACAATGTACCGCCGATCATTCTGATTTTCAATTATGGCTGTTAATGCAGGATCTATGGCGTCTTCCAGTAATTCCAAATACATTTCACCGGTCAAATTTCCAGGTAAGAAAAAAGGACCAAATAAATGACCACCAAAAATACCAGCCTAAACATTTAATTTTTGTGGCTGCTGTGTATGAACCTCATGATAAATTCTGGGATTAGAATCGGACCAATATCGGCAGTTATGACGATTTACTACGCCATTTAAGAAAAAGGAACATTCGTCGCAAAAGCAAGTGTTGAATAGAAAATGTTCATCGTTTATAATTCGTTCACTCATATCTTCACAAAATTGTAATCGCCGATCAACATCGTCTTCATTAAGTTCTTGTACCAGGTGAATTTGATACGGATGAAAACTATGGGCCTTTATAAATCGTTGGACAGTACGTCGACTAACACCACATACAGTCTCCAATTTGGGGGTATTTAACGTAGGATCTACATAAACTTGTCCTAATACCCCCACTTCTATTGCTTCGTTCCTTATGGGATTTTCAATAATGCGTTTTTTATTGGCGACTGACCCAGTTTTCCGAAATTCAGCTACAAGTTCTAGAACATATTTTCGATGCACGTTACTGTTCTCATGTCGCTCATTAAATATTTCGGCTGTTCTGTTAGCGCACTGATTATTTCCGAAAAATATTTCGATAATTTCAACTCTTTCTGCTGTGGAATATAGCATGGTTAATTTATGTAATAAAGCGTTACAAGTTATTTTGGCAACAAAGTTTGGTCAAACCAATCGCAAACTATGTACTAAATTCCTATTTAAAATAAGTACGAGATATTTCCTTATCTTTCTTCAAGAAATAACTTTTTTGCCACAAAAAAACGCTCCAATAGCTGTTTTCAACAACAAAATGTTAAACAAACCATGGGCGTAGTGAAGAAAAGCATTTACTTATTAAGTAAATTCTTTTACTCAAATTTATTCTGAAAGTAGTACAAACTAATCTGATGTATGGTGTATCTGAAGTCACTTGAAATACGATAATAATAATGTTTTTATATCACAATAAATGGATTTTACTATCTTCTTATTTTTTTGATTTGGGATAAAAAATATTTATATTGGGAGTTTAATTTATGTTGACTGAAAGTTAAGAAATGGAAAAATTACAGAATTCCAACGTTTGACATAGGCAAATATTTACATAGCAGGTAGGTATATAAAAAGGTATATAAAGACTTACATTATAGGTATTTATATATCATCCTCGCCTTCGGAGCTGTCGCTAGAGTCATCTTGTAGAGGAATTACAACGGGATTTACAGGAGGCAAAACACAAAATTAATTTTCTTTTTCAATAATATGCCTAGAACACTGCTTAAATAGGTCTGTGGCGGCAATATGAGATACTGCATCTCTTATTGTGGCCAATAGCGATTCACTTAATTGAGGGGTCTGATTATGTTTTCTTACTTTTTTTTTTAAAGCAGCCCAGACCAACACAATCGGGTTAAAAATGCAGTAATAGGGAGGTAGACGTAATACTTCATGGCCATTTTGCTGAAGCAGATTGTCAACAACATACTCTTTTTAAAATTTTTGTCTTTTAATAAGATCCAATAATATGGCTTTGGTTGATTTTTGTGGTATTTCCATTCCCTTATCCTTCATAAAATCAATAATATCTTGTTTTTTGTGCTTGTATTCGGAATTTTGTTTTTCTGTCGGGAATGGTATGGCGCATTGTCCATAATAATCACTGAATTTGGGGAAATGTTTGGTATTAACTGCTGCTCTATCCACTTTTCAAATAAGTCGGAGGTCATGTCCTCATAATAGTCGGCACATGATTCTTTGATATTTTTGGCAGATAACAGCAAGGCATTAGGTATAAATCCATTTTCACTGCCAGCATGGAGAATAATGATTCGTTTTCCACGGTTGCATGGTGCATTTAAAATGCACTTGTTGCTGTCGTCAACCCAGCCGTACTGCACAACATCATGGGTATCATACCACGTTTCATCCAGGTAAATCAGATTTCTTTTCTGCTCTCTATAGATTTTAACTTTGTGCAAAAATTCTTGGCGCAATTCAACGATTCGAGACGACTCCATAATCACCATTCTTTTATCTAATTTTTTGTATTGAAAACCACACAGTTTTACAATACAGTGCAGTGAGTCTAAGCATTTGTAATTATAAAAATCTTCAGGATAATCTTTTAATTTATCCCGTATCATTTCCAACGTGGGCACCAAATTTTCTTTATAAAATTCGTATATTATACGACGAATATCTTCCTGAAAACACACGTCTATTCTTTTTAATTTTTGCCCTATGCGCTTTCTGTGGAAGGAATGGTTGACTACATCTCCCCTTTTTATAACCCGATAAATGGTAGACCGACTGATTTTTGTCAGGATACAAATTCTGTTTAAAATTTGATTTTGCGAGGAATCTGGATTTTCGTTTTTCAGACAATCATACATATTTAGGATTACTCTTTGGGTCTGTTCCTCTAAATCTTTATGAAAGAATTCTGCCTGCACAGGTTCATCAACCATCTCCTCGTGGCTTGGAGCATTTTCCCAAGGTCTCCAAAGAGCCATATTTAGGACACACAAGAACAATCAACAAGTAAACTGAGTATTCAAAAGTCAAAAACACACAAACTAGTAAAATCTATGAAAAACACGGACAGACTAAAGAAAACACGTTTATTCACCGCTACACGGCACTGGCTAAACTGTTTCAATTTTCAGTAGCCACCTGCACTTGTTCCGAGCTCTGACGCTTTCTCATTGGCTATGTTCACGCATAGGCGTGCTTTACTCCACGTGGACCGGTGAAACTGCCTTTGATCTCTTATACGGGGGATATTTGCTGCGAAATTTGGCGATTTTTGCAGCAACAGAGCGTGTTAAATATAGATATATAAAACGCACCCGGTATTTCACAGTGTTTCAAGTGACTTTAGATAAAGTATACCTATTAAAGTCTACTTTAAGCTTTAAATCAATAAATCTTCAAAACTACTGAACTGAAGCTCATGTATTTTACATCATTATAAAGGGAATTGAAAAACCTTTAAAATAAGGTATCACTCGACCCCCCTTTCCATTTAAGATTTTAGGGTTGGTGTCACCTTCGCTCAGGGGGCTGCACGTGTTAACGTGTTTTTTTGCCAAAATCGACGGGTCTGAGCGTTTTTCCAAAAAAACTGAGCTGCCAGTGAATGCGTCTGTTTCGTTTTCGATGCGCCACCCTGTATATAGCTGACATGATCCATTCAATTACTTTGTCATAAATGTTCGTAGTCAGTTTTTTTCTAAGAG